AATTACATCAGATCGACAAGGACCCAGCAGCTGCTTAACGATCGCGATATATTTTGGACAAAAACATATATTTGACTGTCTTGGTGGTATCTAGTATTTGCAACAAATATTCCCACGTTCGTGACTATCTGCTATGAACGATAGCCATGCGAGTTCTTAAATGAATTCGGAGAACGTCGTCATCCACAACATAGCGGAGACGTTGTCTGGAGTCTTCGAAAACTCCCTGCAAATGTTTTCACTCACGTATGGTATGGCGGGGGACATCAGAAATGGACTTCATACATTGTACCCATGTAGGGAGTTGAACCAAAGTCTTCGGTGTGACAAGTGAACGCTTTAACCACTATGCTACCCACCACCCTGTGTAACCTAGCTATAAGAGCAGGACAAGTACAGCCGTCTCACGAGCACCTGTTGGATCATTGTAACTTTACATAGGTTCATGTCCACAAGTCAAGGAACTGATTCTACTTTGTAATGGACACTCTTCTTCTAGTCTTTGCGCCCATGTGCATGGTTCACTTGAAAGGCAGACCCATTTCATGCTCACTGACTTAGTTCTGTTGATATCAGCAAATTTGGGATGAGGTGGGGTGAAATGTGGTTTATCGTTGCGTTTATGACTTTGACAATGATATTGCGACATGCATTCACTCTGTATGTGTCGGTACAATGTGTGAAGCCTATTTCTGGTGTCCCCCACCGTGATATTGCTAGAATGTTGCTAAAAGCGGCGTAAACCTAAACTCACTATGTGTGTGTGTGTGCGTGCGTGTGTGCGTGCGTGCGTGCGCAACAGTGGGGATGATGTAGCAAATGTATGCTGCATATGCTTTGGTGATAAATAAACCATGTCATCCCGACATTACGCGCTAGCTATTTAAGCAAGTGCTCTATTTGCTAACAAACACGTCCACACAGTTAAAATGTTTCATTCCACTGAACACGAGAGCGATACCAGTCACGCCAAATCTGCCGGGGTTTTCTCAATGAAAACCAGCTCAGTGGCTTTTGTCGCCATCTCTATTGGGCATCATGTAATAGTCTCATTGAGGTGCCTTGTATTACACAGCAGACTGAATTTCTATATGGTGCATGGCTGCTTAATTTAGTGAACTTACATGACCTGTATATTAATAGAATGGCGATATCCGAGACTGGTGTGTAAATAGTTCATATTAAATACATCGACACATGCAATTGTTGCTAGTGCGGTGCTACCTCCACTGGGTGTATTGTAATTTGCTCCATTCGAACGTATAATTAACATCAATTGGCATCATTTTAATAATATACATAAATTACATATAAAACTAATTCGGGTAAATGGTTATCAGGGCAAACTGGGTCATTATTGTAATAAATATGCAAGTTCCGCAAAACGTTTTCGCGTGAATGGCATTTGCCTACACGATGAACGTATATATATGTGATCGTGCGTGCTGAGGGAACATACGTTCAGTACTTATCGTAAAGGGGCGGTGGGGTAGCCTAGTGGTTAAAGCGTTCGCTCGTCACGGGTTCGATTCCCCACATGTGTACAACGTGTGAAGCCCATTTCTAGTGTCCCACGCCGTGATATTGCTGGAATATTGCTAAAAGAGGCGTAAAACCAAACTCACTCACTCACTTACGATAGTTATCGTAAATTATCTGATTTGAGTAAAACTGTTTCTTGGGGACCAAGATATAGTGTTTTCTTTTACAGTGGTAGTTAAATGCTGAATATATTTTGTACATTATGGCTATCTGGATTTGGTGTATTTCAGCTGTCTGCAGATATCCGATTTCAGTCTGAATCGTGTAAAGTTTGAGAAGCCTTAACATGGCTTATCTTAGGCAATACAATGTCACTGCAAGGGCATTGTCGAAAACATTCTTACGATAGTAGATCACTTCGCCTAGTCTTCAACACTGACTCACCTCCTGCAAGCGTACTGATAAATTTAAGAGTGAGTGAGTTTGGTTGTACGCCGCTTTTAGGAATATTCCAGCAATATCACGCGTGGCACACCAGAAATGGACCTCACACATTGTACCCATGTGGGGAGCCTAACTCGGGTCTTCGGCGAGACAAGCGAACGCATTAACCACTTGGCTACCCCACCGCCCTATAAATTTAAGAAATACCATCATCACTTATATGACGCTTAATCATTATATGAGACAGGATTATACACAGGGTCCTCAAAATAACACCTTTATTGAAGTCCGCATCCGTGGTGTAGTGGTTAGAGCGTCCGCCCGGAGAGCGGAAGGTCGCGGGTTCGATCCCCGACCGCGTCATACCAAAAGACGTTAAAATATGGTACTTGTTGGTCCCTGCCTGGCGCTCGGCATTAATGGGTACAACAAGGAATGGTCGGCTTGGAGTCAGTATAATGTGTTTGAGTGGGGTATTCATGCTTCACTGCGGCATGGTATCTCAGTGGGCTAGCACTATAAAACCAGCTTCAGTCTGGGCTAGTGCAAGCAGCCGCACATACACACGCATGCACGTCGTCATATGAGCGAACTATTCTCAAGCACGACGTTAAACCCAATTTCACCTCACCTCACCTTTATTGAAATGTAATGTATTTAGACAAAGGACTAAAATAATTAATACAGCCTCCCCTAGTAACCGACAAAAGTGCCATGGAAAGACATTACTTTGAATCCAGAAATATCCTTTTTCACTAATGCAACATTATTCGACAGTACGCACGATTGATAAGTTTTATCGTGACTCGATGGCGCCAAACTTCCAACATGACATATTGTCATGATATACAGACCAATAACGAGGCAACGTGATTACACTAATAGGTTCCAAGTTAACATAGTGATTCTATTCGATCAAAACCTCTATGAAATAACCCCTTTTGGATACTTACAAGAAATCTCCGCCATAAGCAAAGTCCAGTGTACGTCTATACGATACGCATGCGGTTATGACTCACTTTCAAACACTGAAGATAACATGTCATCGCAAAAAGGTGAACATGCAGTGCCCCAACAGTGACACCCGTCACAAAAATGTATGTCAATGAATCGTCCTTGTCGGGGTATACGGACTCACCTTGCATTGTCATCATTGAAGCAGATTCGTTGTGTAATAGTGTCTCGGTGTTCTATGATCAGCGTTTCATTAGATATGCATATACCTTGAGTGAGTGAGTGAGTCTAGTTTTACGCTGCACTCAGTATTATTCCAGCTATATGGGTCGGTCTGTAAATAATCGAGTCTGGATCAGAAAATCCAGTGATGAACAGTATGAGCATCGATCTACGCAATTGGGAACCGATGACATGTGTCAAGAAAGAGAGTTGGTTTTAACGACTAAAACCTACAGAAAGCGCCCGGGGGAGTTGGTTTTAACGACTAAAACCTACAGAAAGTGCCCGGGGGGGAGTTCGTTTTATCTGTAGTTCGTTATAACCGTAGTTTACTGTATGTGGTTTGATGACTTCATTTTGAATTGATTACGTCAGAGTGTAGGTGGTACATTGTCTTATACACCTGTTCTTTATCTCATGTTTTTCATGTTAACAAACAGTTCTACTGGCATCAATATTTGTCTAAATACAACTTGAATACTTTTCACAATATGAGGAATATTTGTTTCTTAAAATAGAGAACTTATCTCGTGAAATATGAACATCATTCTATAATGAAAAACTATACGGCTTCAACTAATGTATAACCCAAGTCACGTGACCTTGACCTATGCGATAACTGTTATACATGACAGAGGATAATCGGATACAGCTGTTGTTGACATGTAGACATGCAAACATGTAGATAACTATTACTGGAAGGACGTGCAGGGTGGCCCCTACACCAGCAGGGATAAAGTATTATCTGTGTACTTTGTGACTCATGTTTACTTTTGAAGCAAACCACTTGCCTCTGCAGGTCCTACATTAAACCATATCTGCCACATCTATATATTTATGCAAGTGATACATTTCAAACGCTTCATGACATAATCAGCTGAAGGTTGTGATAGTTTTGTTCGGCAATACTGACATAGATGTTAAACCATTGCGAGTTTAATAGGAATAGCTTAATAGGTGGTTGGGTACTATATTTGTCACGTACGTCTCGTGCGTCCTATCTGTTTCATAGGTCGTGTATCATTATCCGATAGAAAGAATTGCCAGTGGGATCAGAGTAAAGGGTAACTAGGTGACTAGAAGACGGGATAAATAATGATTGAACGTGCATACCCACACAACCCAATCGATCTGAGGTCACCTGGTTTATATAGATCAATCATAGGCATATTTAAATTCTGATTAAAATATCATATACCCCCTCTATTACAAATGTACATGCATGGATGGATGGATGGATGGATGGATGGAAGGATAGAAAGCACAACTCACTCACACCCTACACCCACTCTTGTAACTAGAGTTTACTCAGACCCTGAGTTTACGACAGCACATTATCTGTGAAATAATAGTCAGTTTCAATTGGTAGCTCGACACTTTCTTTAAATATACATAGACCGGAGGTACTTTCTCATAAGAACAGCCTCTGTAGTGATAGCAGAACAAATAATTGCCTCAATTCTCATGTAAAATGTATGTGGATCGGTTGTTGCTTAGTAACAGGTGCTTTTTAAAGATACTAATAAATATTTAAAATTTTAACTTAATCTTAAGTTGGCGGAGGTAACCATTTTAAGAAAATGCATTAATAAATTAACAAATACTTTATCAAATTAAACTCGCATTTTCTGATATGACAACATCAATAAATGTATAAATTACAATGTACATAGTATTCACGGTATAACGAGGAAGTCGTCAGACCACACTGCGACATAATGTACTATACACAAAGACATCAAGACATACAGCCTCGTATACAGAACTAATACAAACCTTACGAGAGTAAGACTGATTGTGTCTATGTTTGTTTATACGGTTAATCGTGCACATGTAAACAATATTCACAAACCAACTTTTCAGTTACAAAACTTAAATCGGAGGAGTCACTGACCTACCTCTACCATCTGTCAAAACCTGGGACAACAGCTTCAGTCTGGAGTGCAGTCTGTGTCGTCTGCTTCACAGGAGCTCAATCCAGCACGTTGCCATCGTAATGATTTCACAGACGAGTTTGAAACTACATAACCGTTGGTGATAGAGCGAGATGCCCTTCAACCTTCCAACCTGCGGCTGTACGTTATGCAGAATATACACTATCTGTAAGAGCCCGGATGCTGTGTATATATACCGCTGACACACACTGGCTGGCACTTAATCGAAACGTGGATAAAATACATGCCGTGTTTCATTTATACTCATTAAATATGGAAATTAGACGTCTCAGAGTTTGGATATTCCTTGATTAATTTCCCTGTCAGTGGCTCACGTATTTCCCGGACCCCTGGCACGAAATACGCCAGAAGTGTGGAGGCGACGGTTTGTGATCTACAAGACAGTCAAACCACTGACTTGCTCGTTTTGCAAAGTCAAACAAGTGACCCGAATGTCATGACTTGGGAGGAATGCCTAATTAACAGACCATCGCACACAGTGATCGGTTTAGAACTTGGGCAAAAAAATTATAGGTCATATGGCGAGACTTTGAGTTGTCTGTGTTTGAGTTTTTGTCTCGTGCAACGAGCAGACGATATCAGCAACCAGACGTCAAGTTAGGTCACGTGAGTTCATTGTGACCCAGTCGCGCGACAGATAACCCCATCCCATGTCGGCCCAGTGGGCCTGAAACAATGTCTTGCGAGGTTGGGAGAAACTTGGAAATATAGAAATTAGCTCCAGGATTTCGGTTTACATTGCAAGGGCAGGACGTGTCACTGGCTCTTTTACTTTCTTCCTTTTTAATCAGACACTTCTTCAAATCATAAGATTTATCAATCATATTTTCATAATTTTAATTGATAGAACAGCAGGTATTTCATGGCCCAAAGGCAATATTTGTGAAATACATTTAAGTTTCATGAATTATAAATACAGTGTAGATATTCAAAGCTTTTAAATGCACTGATATATGTATGTATGTATGTATGTATGTATGTATGTATGTATGTATGTATGTATGTATGTATGTATGTATGTATGTATGTATGTATGCATGTATGTATGTATGTATGTATGTATGTATGTATGTATGTATGTATGTATGTATGTATGTATGTATGTATGTATGTATGTATGTATGCATGTATGTATATATACATGTGTGTGTGTATGTATGTATGTATGTATGTATGTATGTATATATATGTATACATATGTATGTATGTATGTATGTATGTATGTATGCATGTATGTATGTATGTATGTATGCATGCATGTATGTATGTATGCATGTATGTATGTATGTATGTTTTTGTGTCAGAGTGTGAATAGAATTTTGTCGAATCTGTGCCTTGTCATATATCAAATATCTCCCTTCTTCATAACATGCATTAAAACGTAGGGTCGATAATATTTATTACATGAATACTGAGTGTTTAGTGCGGGCGAAGAGACACATGTGATCACTGATCACTGTGACAGAATTCGTGAGATATCCACATGTTAGATAAGTACGTGTTTGTAAACTTTAGTGTTGCACTTTACCGTAAACTTACTCTCGTAACATCAAACCTCGCTATAACGCCTTTCATAGTTGGGAATGTGAATCGAATTTGTTTGCCGATAATTGGATGGCTTCATACGTCCAGAGAATTTGAGTTAGTAAGAAAACAAATGTAACTGCAATTCTGCCGAACGAATGTTAGTTCTGTTAATATGACCTTCACTTAAAACAACACAGAATAGCTACATTACCATGCGTTATGGACAAATGTTTGCGCTATATCGGGGTGCTTTCACCCTTGCATATGGTGTGGAAATAAGCCACTGTAAGACCCTGTATACATCTCCAATAATTATTATCAAGTATATAATATGCGTCATTCATTGCGCCTCCAAAACATGGTTAATTACAACACCTGTTCCGATGGCAAGAAACGCGCAGGATCTATACGAACTGGACAAATTGCGTGACGTTTTTCCACAGCTAATTATATATACCTTTGAAGACGTGTCGTGCGAAAATGCTTAAAACGAAACTAGTCGTGAAACAGTTTTCCCATCTTCGCACGTCAGGCGGTCTCCGCTCGAGTCATTCTCGTCTGCTTCTAGTTGACCTTGACGAAACGAATTGCTTACTTTCGAGTTAGGATCGTAAAATTGCCAAAGCTCATTTCAACTGTGGATGTCGTGGAGTTGTGCTGTCTATCCCGCCTGGTGTGAGATTTGGGCGAGAGCTGAACGACTGGCACGTGCCATTAAAACCTGCTTGAACGAGCCTCTTGTGGAACATTCACTGAGGTTAAAGTTCAGTTGTACTCAAATTCTACTGAAATAATTTGATAAAAAGTTTGGGATGATGCGCCAGGTAATAAATTTGTGTCACTACGGTAAGTGAATTAAAAATTAACATCGGCATCGGTTTTGCCAGAGATATACAGATCAACTCTCATTTAATTAGAATTTGTAAGTTGACCATGCTAATAACTCACCTGTAACAAACATTTCAAGTCAAAATTGCTAATTCGTCGGCTCAAACCTGTACTGGAAGATTTAGTTCAAGTAAACCCACAAGGTGTCAAATGGAACTGAATGGAGAGAGTGTAAGAGTGAGACAGGGGGGAAGGAGGAAAGAGAGCGGTGGTTGTGTGTGTGTGTGTGTGGGGGGGGGGAGCGAGGAGTATGAACAACAAACGTATGCGAGAGTAAACAATTTTCAACACTTATACGTCGGGACAAAGAAACAACAGACGTATGTTTTAAGTTAGTAGGGTGGGTGAATTTAGTTTTACGCGCAGTCAGCAATATTCCAGCTATATGGCGCTTTAGAGTTAGTCCCTACGATACGACTCCAACGATTTTATGTATATCTATAATTCTTAGGTATCTGTAAATGGGAGGCTTGGCCCGTTTCTGACAAACACAGTGATCCTGGGTCAGTAGTCCAGCCGTACCTTACCAACTCCTTTACCTGGGTGTTTCTGACAAACACAGTGATCCTGGGTCAGTAGTCCAGCCGTACCTTACCAACTCCGTTACCTGGATGTTTCTGACAAACACAGTGATCCTCGGTCAGTAGTCCAGCCGTACCTTACCAACTTACCTGGGTGTTTCTGACAATCACAGTGATCCTGGGTCAGTAGTCCAGCCGTACCTTACCAACTCCTTTACATGGGTGTTTCTGACAAACACAGTGATCCTGGGTCAGTAGTCCAGCCGTACCTTACCAACTCCGTTACCTGGGTGTTTCTGACAAACACAGTGATCCTGGGTCAGTAGTCCAGCCGTACCTTACCAACTCCTTTACCTGGGTGTTTCTGACAAACACAGTGATCCTGGGTCAGTAGTCCAGCCGTACCTTACCAACCTCCAGTTTACCTGGGTGTTTCTGACAAACACAGTGATCCTGGGTCAGTAGTCCAGCCGTACCTTGCCAACTCCTTTACCTGGGTGTTTCTGACAAACACAGTGATCCTGGGTCAGTAGTCCAGCCTTACCTCCTTTACCAACTGATCCTTTACCTACCTTACCAACTGTTTTCTGACAAACACAGTGATCCTGGGTCAGTAGTCCAGCCGTACCTTACCAACTCCTTTACCTGGGTGTTTCTGACAAACACAGTGATCCTGGGTCAGTAGTCCAGCCGTACCTTCCTGCCAACTTACCAACCTTTACCTGGGTGTTTCTGACAAACACAGTGATCCTGGGTCAGTAGTCCAGCCGTACCTTACCAACTCCTTTACCTGGGTGTTTCTGACAAACACAGTGATCCTGGGTCAGTAGTCCAGCCGTACCTTCCAACTCCTTTACCTTACCAACCACACTCCTTCAGTACCTGGGTGTTTCTGACAAACACAGTGATCCTGGGTCAGTAGTCCAGCCGTACCTTACCAACTCCTTTACCTGGGTGTTTCTGACAAACACAGTGATCCTGGGTCAGTAGTCCAGCCGTACCTTACCAACTCCTTTACCTGGGTGTTTCTGACAAACACAGTGATCCTGGGTCAGTAGTCCAGCCGTACCTTACCAACTCCTTTACCTGGGTGTTTCTGACAAACACAGTGATCCTGGGTCAGTAGTCCAGCCGTACCTTACCAACTCCTTTACCTGGGTGTTTCTGACAAACACAGTGATCCTGGGTCAGTAGTCCAGCCGTACCTTACCAACTCCTTTACCTGGGTGTTTCTGACAAACACAGTGATCCTGGGTCAGTAGTCCAGCCGTACCTTACCAACTCCTTTACCTGGGTGTTTCACAGTGACAAACACAGTGACCTCCAACTGGGTGTTTCTGACAAACACAGTGATCCTGGGTCAGTAGTCCAGCCGTACCTTACCAACTCCTTGTTTCTGACAAACACAGTGATGGGTGTTTCTGACAAACACAGTGATCCTGGGTCAGTAGTCCAGCCGTACCTTACCAACTCCTTTACCTGGGTGTTTCTGACAAACACAGTGATCCTGGGTCAGTAGTCCAGCCGTACCTTACCAACTCCTTTACCTGGGTGTTTCTGACAAACACAGTGATCCTGGGTCAGTAGTCCAGCCGTACCTTACCAACTCCTTTACCTGGGTGTTTCTGACAAACACAGTGATCCTGGGTCAGTAGTCCAGCCGTACCTTACCAACTCCTTTACCTGGGTGTTTCTGACAAACACAGTGATCCTGGGTCAGTAGTCCAGCCGTACCTTACCAACTCCTTTACCTGGGTGTTTCTGACAAACACAGTGATCCTGGGTCAGTAGTCCAGCCGTACCTTACCAACTCCTTTACCTGGGTGTTTCTGACAAACACAGTGATCCTGGGTCAGTAGTCCAGCCGTACCTTACCGACCTCTTTACCTGGGTGTTTCTGACAAACACAGTGATCCTGGGTCAGTAGTCCACACAGTGATCCTGGGTCAGTAGTCCAGCCGTACCTTACCAACTCCTTTACCTGGGTGTTTCTGACAAACACAGTGATCCTGGGTCAGTAGTCCAGCCGTACCTTACCAACTCCTTTACCTGGGTGTTTCTGACAAACACAGTGATCCTGATACTTCTTTATTATATTAATATGAGTCAGCGTAGTCCAGCCGTACCTTACCAAACTCGCTCATATTGACCATAGGTCTCCTCCAACTCTTATCACCCCACACTCTTGGAGTGGGACCAGCGAAGATCCGCTT